CCAAACTTAGAAGCAAATTTAGATAGACTCTTTAGACTTGTACTCTTGAAATAATTCTGAAGTAAAACTCTGAAGAATGACTTTTCATACTTGAATTTAGAAATGAAACTATATCAGTAAATTGAATTTAATCTTAGAAGAGCGCTTATGTCAAATCTGATGATGAAGTCTAAAGACCTTGAGTTCAAAGTTATTCAAATACCCAATATCTTTGAAAAAGACCCCATGGTAAAGCTTACATCATACAGAGAAAGACCAACTCCTTAAGAACCAGAGCCCCTCTGGACTCACCAACCAAAAGTAAGGCCAACCAAAGGCCCTCTGGTCAGCCTCTTGTTCGTCTATCGAGAGCCTCTGGGTCAAGAAAATGTTAAATACTTAAATAATTTGAGTTCCAATTACAACCAGAGGCCTTCTGGTTAAACATGAAGATCAACCAGAGCCCCTTTGATTCTTTTATGATGGATTGGAATATTTTTCCAAGGTTCAAATAAACAACCAGAAGGAAAACCATCCAGAATCCAAACCAACCAGAGGGGCTTTGGCTTACAAGTCTAAGTCTTAAAGACTTATCCTGAAAATCTAGATAAGTTTATTACAAGATTTGTACTCTTGAAATAATCTAAAGTAAAACTCTTCAGACTTCAGAGCTCTGTATAGGCAAGCCAGAAGCTCTGCATGCACTATGCAGAGGCTCTACATGGTGCTCCGTCTGGAAAAGAAGACTTCAAAGTTCGTGTGAGCTAACTCTAAAGAATGCTCTTCAAACTTGTACTCTGGAAATAACTTTGAAGTAAAACTCTAAAGAATGACTTTTCAGACTTGTACTCTTGAAATAACTCTGAAGTATAAAATCAATCCCACTAAATCAGAGTTCAGACTTTTAAGTCTGAAAAAGAAGATTTCAGAGTTCGGGTGAGCTAAGTCTAAAAAAGAAGACTTCAGAATTCGGGTGAGCTAACTCTGAAGAATGACTCTTCAGACTTGTAGAAGACTTCAAAGTTCAGACTTCTAAGTTTGAAAAAGAAGACTTCAGAGTTCGGGTTTCTAAGTCTGAAAAAGAAGATTTCAGAGTTCACACTCCAGATTTTGGATGAGCTAAGTCAGAAAAAGCAGACTTCAGAGTTTAAGTGAGCTAATTCTGAATAATGACTTCAGACTTCTTATATTGAAATAACTCTGAATTAAAGCTCTTCGGTAATACTTTGGGATCACAATATTGACTATTCAAAGTAATACTTTATGTAAATCACTTTGGCTTCCATCTCACCTGATATATATATATATATATATATATATATAGAGAGAGAGAGAGAGAGGAGTGATCAAATAAAAACCGCCCTCATTTGTGTAAACCGTGTAAACCACCTTCATCCGTCGATTTCATTGTTTAATCTTATGAAATTTTTTCATGAAATTGTTTAATCTTGTGAAATTGTTTCATAAAATACTTTTTTTGATCAAGTTGTTTCATATATGGTTGTGAAATTGTTTCATATAATACTTAATGAAACTGTTTCATGTATTTCTCTAGAATTAATGAAACTGTTTCATGTATTTCTCTAAAAATTAAAATAATAAAGATGATAATATCTATGATTAACACCCTCCACAATAAAAATGATTAATCAACCTCTCATAATTACAAAAAAATGAACAAAATGAAAAATTATGATTGGTTGAATGAGGTTTGCACGGTTTGTACAAATTGAGTGGTTTGCATTTGATCGCTCCCCCATATATATATATATATATATATATATATATATATATTGACATCATTTGGGGTTACAATGTTGACTATTCGGAGTAGTACTCTATGTAAATCACTTGGGTTTCCATCTCACCTGATATTAATATTTTCCATCACTGTTATAAACTTTTAGGGTCAAAATAAATTTTCTCGAAACCATCAATCACATAATCAAAAGTCCATGTTAGTTATAGCTTGAGATTATTCTTGTTTTAGAGGTAAGATAGTACTTAAAATTTGTGCACTCGATAGTAAGTAACAAGGAGTCAATAATGTATGAACACAAGGGTGGTTTTGAAATTCCAAATATAGATATAAGTTGGACGGCTCATATGGTTGAAAATTTTCTTCAAAAAGATAGGAGTTTTCTTAGCTGATAACAAGAAATCTAATATGTTCCAATAGAAAATAGATTTTATGGATGGAATAAACAAAAGAGTGAGTGGAGATGAATGTTGGAGAATACATCATGGTTTTTAAGACAAGAAGTTTCAGAACTTGATCGTAGATAAAAAAAAAAACTTAGAGGGTGTTTGGTTATGGCAGGGAAATGAAAATGTGTGAGAATGAAAACCCGTTTAATCTGGGATGAATATTTGGGTTTCTGGAGGAATAAGTCCATTATATTACATAAAATCAAACAATTTCTTTTATTTTAATTCTCATTAATTACTGCTTAATAACTCTAACCAAATAACCCCTTAGAGAAACAATAAAAAAAATACTATAAGATGAACAATCAATTAACTTACATATTTTATTTTCCAATATGATTAATTATACATGTTTTGGCCTTCAATATAACACTAAAGTATTTTCTGGGACTTATTAGATACTAATATTTTTTTGTCTTTTTCATTTACTATTTTTTTTGACAATGTTGTAAGGCAGTAAATGTTGATATTCGTTAACATAGATTAACATACCTAATACATGAAAAGCACTTTAACGGGAAAATGTTACATAAGTTGACGAATTTTGCCGTATATTAACATGAGAATATGAACATATATTGAACACCTTAAATGAAAATGCTAACATATGTTAATATACCTTAACGTATGTTGGTATTGCTTATATTAACATTGTTAACATACATTCACAAAATCGATCTCGACATGACCGAATGCGGAGAACCAAATGACGAGATTGCCCATTCTTCACAAAACTGACACACACCCAGCATGATCCAATCAAAGGCGCTGAAAATCAATGAACGATGGTGTTTGGGTTCGTACTGTTCCCATGAAATGTTGGAGTTTTTACCGGAACCCGACTCTATATATACGCACACGAGAAGTTTATAGATGAGATGATTTACATTTATATGGAAATAAGTAAAATTTGGTTATATTTAATGATAACAGGTCAAACGTATGATATAAAAGTCATTCAAAATATACTCAAGGGTTGTTTATCAAAAAGTTTGGATACGTGTTTATTACAGTAAGAAGTCTAATTAGGACAAGACGTCTGATCTAAGTAAGTATTAATTGAACATTGATTATTACGAAACAAAAATACAAAAGCCCGAGATTCATTGATTTTCATCTCTGTAAATTGATGAACACCACCTTCAGTCTCACTTGTTATCAGAGTTCCACGTCAGTTAGATCTAGACCTGTCTACTTTAATATATATTAGAAACCTCTTCCGGTCCCTTTTAGATAGTTATCTGATTGGGCATCTGTGTCCAGGACTCGACTCTTCGGAAATCTAGTCTTTATTGGAGGAAGCGTGTTAGAAGCCCCACATCGGCTACAGTTGGACCTTTCTGCTTTAATATATGTTGGAAAGCCCGACTCTCCTACTCTTTTCGAAAAGTAAATGGGGTTCCACCACTACAACAAATTAGGTGTATAATATGCCAACAATGATGTCCTAATAGGTTGCTTTACATGTTTTAAGTTTATAGGACCAAATGATAAATTGTCTAATCTAAGAGTGTTGTAATAAGTTTATAGGACGATGTTGGACATTTTAACAAGTTTTTTAGGATATTTTTAAAATAAAATGTCTTGCTAACTTTTTATAGGACATTATTTGAAAATGTTTCTTATGTACTCAAGTGTGCTGTAAAAAGATGTGATTATGTCCTATAAAATAGCTAATAAGAAACTTTATTTTAACAAAAACTTGTTAAGACCGTCTAAAAACGTTCTATAAACTTATTATAACACTTTAAGATATAATGCTTTATAATTTAATCTTGTAAACTTAAAACCTATAAAGAACCTGTTAGGATATTTAGATAATGGTGCCGTCGTATTAACCCAATTTTTGAGACTCTCCAGGCCATTGACCTCAAATGAGATTTTTATTAACAACGTAATTTTTTGATAAGTTCAGTAGCATTCTGGTGTATTGAAGTGGCTTTCTAATGTATAGAAGTGGCATGTTAATAGTTTATCAGAAAATCATGGATATAAAAGAAATTTTTGACAAGGTAAATTCAAACGAAAACCTCAATTTATAGGGCACTTATGACTAAGGGTGCTTATGAGTTGGGTTGAAAACATTTGAACAACTCAACCTAATGCTTGCGGTTTGAAAAATCTTAACTCAACCCAACCCAAACCATAGTACAACCCAACCTAACCCAACCCGTACGGGTTGGTCGGGTTGGTACTTTAGTATATTAAAATATTTTTCTAACTTTGAATATGTTATTTCTATACTTATAATTTGTTTTTCGTCATCAATCATTTGATATAAATTGTCCATACATCTTATGTATATCACATCAGTTAATTTTTTCAATTTACATATATATGTTCACAACAACTGAACATATATACGAATGAGTTATATAGAGATGTAAATAGATTGAAATATGAATATACATGATAGTGTAATTGTCTAATGTATATATTAATAGAAATTCAACAATTATATTAAATTCAAGAAATAAAATGATATCGGGTGGGTTGGGTTGAATTCAAATAATAGTAACTCAATATCAATCCAATACCTATGGTACAACAATTTTTCATCTTTATTAGACATCAAGTTATTTCGAATTAAATTATTCGGCGTTGGGTTTAATTGGATTGGATTGATCGGTTTGATTTGGTTGGTAGGGTTTTTTTTTTTAGCACCCATGCTACACACTTGATTACACCTTCAAACCCCACGACCGATTTCATCAACTTTCATCCCATGAAGAACTAAGGACCAACTCCTCTAAAGATTAGCTTTTGGTAAAAAGTCCCTTAAATTTGCTGCTAAGCTTGTTGTTTGTATGTAGGGTTGGGGATGAAACACCCAAGATTGAAGTAAGATATGAGAACTTATCAGTGGAAGGAGATGCTTATGTTGGTGATAGAGCTCTTCCCTCTCTCTACAATTCCATCTTCAACTCAGTTGAGGTATTTTAACAAGTTAATTTATGATCCTCTTTAAATCATTGAAGACGATAACAGCTACAATTCTCAAATTGTAGAGCACACTTCAATTGCTTGGGTTATGTCCTTCCAAAAAGATGAAAGTGCAGATCCTTCAATCCATTAGTGGCATCATCAAACCATCAAGGTATCTAACTTAGGGTTTTTTTTTAAATTTAATTTTTGTTCATTTTTAAAGATGACGATCATCTCATCTCTTGCTATGATTTTTGCAAGTCTTTTTTCTAATTTGGTAGAATTTGTTTTCATTTTTCCATCGAAAAATTATGATTAAATACAGGATGACACTGCTTTTAGGTCCACCAGGTGCAGGCAAAACCACATTTCTGCTAGCACTTGCTGGGAAACTTGATCATGATGTCAAAGTAATATATTTAATTTCTTCCCAAATCTTTTTCATAAATTTTCATTTTGATTTATGTTTGTTCATTGTTAATCACTTATGGATTCTGAAATCAGGTAGCCGGAAATGTCACTTATTGTGGCCACCAACTGTTTGAATTTATTCCTCAAAGGACATGTGCTTATGTAAGTCCACATAATCTTCATACCGGGGAGATGACGGTGAGAGAGACGTTGGATTTTTCAGGACGGTGTTTGGGCGTTGGGAAAAGATACAAACTACTCACAGATATCTTGAAGATGGAGATAGAAGCAGGAGCCAAGCCTGATCCAGATGTTTTTGCGTTCATGAATGCCACCACAACTGTCCCAGAAAGAGAAACCAATCTCATCACGGATTATGTTCTCAAGGTTTATTATATTATGCTTTATAATAAAGGTTCACTACAACAAAATTGGATGCGTAAATTGTTTAAGTGTCCTAATAGAGTGGCTTATAAGACTTAGGTTTATATTTATTGGATCAAAATGTAAAGAGCTCAGTCTAAAAGTGTTACAATAGGTTTATCGACGCTTTTGGTCGTCGTAACAAGTTTTTTAAGAACTTTCCAAAATACAGTGTCGTATTAGATAGTCAATAAGGGTCCTATAAAAAGATGGGTTTAAAGTTCACTTCTCAAAAATGTCATATAAAATAGCTAATATGACACTTTATTTCTAAAAGGTCCTAAAAACTTGTTATGACGGCTAAAAACGTTCTATAAACTTAATTCCTATAAGACACTCTATTAGGATGACACTTAAATGCGTTAGGTGTCCTACAAACCCGATTTTGTTCTAGTGGCTTATCGAGTCAATTCCATTTGACGTTTTTTGTTCATATATACTTGGGTTGAAAACTTATGTTTTCGTTTAATAGATTCTTGGGTTGGAAACTTGTGCTGATACTATGGTTGGTGATCAAATGAGAAGAGGTATCTCTGGTGGAGAAAAGAAACGTGTCACTACTGGTATGTTGTTGCTTCTTTCATAGAATTGGTGCACCATGAAACCCTTTTACATGTTTGGAGTCTTATATCGGTTAGACTTGGACCATTCTTTACTATCTATGTTGGAACCTCCCTTCTCTCCTCAAAGATTCTTTTGGAGAGTAATCTAATTGTGTTTCACATATCCTCACATGGTATCTGTGCCTGGCTATCTTCTGTCGAGGACGATATATTGGGTCCCATATCGGCTAGACTTGAACCATTTCTCAGCTATACATGTTGGAACCTCCCCTCTCTCCTGATCAATCCCTCTTTTGGAGAGTAATCTAATTGGATTCCACATATTTTAACATAAAAAACTGCAAATGAAATGATGAAAATAAGGATTTATTATTTAGTTGATACAATTTGATTATAAACTTTATACAGGAGAGATGTTAGTTGGGCCAGCAAATGTGTTTTTCATGGACGAAATATCAACCGGACTGGACAGCTCGACCACTTGTCGTATCACCAAGTTCTTAAGACAAATGGTTCATGTCATGGATTTAACTATGGTCATCTCTCTTTTGCAACCCGATCCCGAAACATACAAACTTTTTGATGATGTCATATTAATGTCAGAAGGGCAAATTGTGTATCAAGGTCCTTGTGAAAATGCACTTCAATTTTTCGAATGGATGGGATTCAAGTGCCCAGAAAGGAAGGGGGTGGCAGACTTCCTTCAAGAGGTAACTTCAATAAAAGATCAAGAACAATACTGGATTAAGGTCGATCAACCTTACAGATTTATTACGGTCCCTGAATTTTCAAGATCTTTCAAGTTGTTCCACATTGGAGAGAAACTAGAAATAGATATTCTTATTCCTTATGATAAATCAAAAGCACATCCGGACGCGTTGGTGAAGGAAAAGTACGGAATTTCTAATATGGAACTACTCAAGGCATGCTTTGATAGGGAATGGTTGTTATCGAAGCGTAACTCATTGCTTTACATATTTAAGACGTTCCAGTTGACATTTATGTCATTGGTAGGAATGGCTATGTTCTTCAGAACAGAAATGCATGTGGGAAGTTTGGAAGATGGAGGGAAGTTTTTTGGTGCACTTTTTTTTGGTCTGCTTATTGTAATGTTTAATGGGATGGCTGAGCTTGCATTGACCGTTATGAGGCTTCCAGTTTTTTATAGACAAAGAGATTCATTGTTGTATCCAGCTTGGGCTTTTGCTCTTCCCATTTGGATACTCAGAATCCCCTTATCTTTTATGGAATCAGGAATTTGGGTGATTCTTACATATTACACTATAGGGTATGCGCCAGATGCTACCAGGTAAATATAACACACACACACAAATATATATATATATATATATATATATATTTATATATATATAGGGGTAGGTTCCATTAGGAACCCGGGAACTGCCTGCAACGCGGCACGTGGCATATTCATTAGGAATATGGACGTGTTGTTAATCATGAATGTTGTAACATATTTATTCTGATTGTGTGATTCTGATGAATAACATGTCAATATTCATCATGAATGTTTTTTTCATGATGAATATTCATCCTGAACAGACACATGGTGTGCTGTGGGTGGGCGGTTCTCGGGTTCGTAATCAATTTTGGATTTCTAAAGGAACTTTCCTCTCTCTCTCTCTCTCCACATATATATATATATATATATATCTTTAAACTTGAACAATTTCTGAAGTTTTCATGACTCAATTTCTTCAAGATCTAACAGTTTTTTATGGTTCAGATTCTTTCAACAGTTCTTGACGTTCTTTGTCATACATCAAATGGCTCTTTCCCTTTTTCGATTGCTTGCTGCTGTTGCAAGAACAGAAGTACTTTCAAACACTTTGGGTGCCTTCACACTGTTGCTGATAGTCACCCTTGGAGGGTTCATAGTTGCCAAGGGTACGATTTTTTCTTCTATGTTCCGGTTTATGGTTTTTTAACTTTCTGCTACAATGTTTGTAACTCCTAGACACTACAACAAAATTGGGTTTATAGGACGCCAAAAATGTCTTAAGTGTCCTAATAGGCTGCTTTATAAAATTTAAGTTTATAGGACCAAACATTTGTGTGTCCTATGTAAAAGCGTTGAAATAAGTTTATAGAACTTTTTTGGTGTCATAACAAGTTTTTTTAGGACATATGTGAAATAAAACATCCTATTAATTTGTTATATGACATTATTTTAGAAAGTGTCTTATAAAAAGAAATCTATATAAGGATGTGTTAGTAAATAAGCTAATACGACACTTTATTTTTAAAAGTGTCATAAAAAACTTGTTAAAACACCCAAAAATGTCCTATAAACTTATTAGACAAAAAACAAGAAGTATTCTACTAATAGCTCAAGCAATTTTTAGAAAAATATATTAAATTACCCTGTGCAATGCTTTTATATATGACGTATAATTGTTTGGTCTCGTAAACTAAAAGTCATATAAAGCAATCTATTCGAACACTTGTATTTTTGGCTTCCTATAAACCCGGTTTTGTTGCAGTGAGAAGTGACATATCTAATGATGTACTTTCAGATGACAGCGAGCCATGGATGTCATGGGGATTCTATGCTTCTCCTATGATGTATGCACAAAATGCCTTGGTGATAAACGAGTTTCTTGACAAAAGATGGAGTTCTGTAAGCTCTCATGATTACATGTAGAACTTATGATTTTTCTTATAGAAATATATGTAGAACTTTAGCTTCTCTAATTTAATTAAGCTTCTCATAGAAACTTAATCGAAGTCGTCGTTATGCAGCCCAATATAGATCCACGGATTAATGCATCAACAGTTGGGGAAGCTCTTCTGAAATCACGAAACTTTTTTACAGAAGACCATTGGTTCTGGATATCTCTTGGATCCCTTGTTGGGTTTTCGATTCTCTTCAACCTATTATTTATTCTAGCGCTAACTTTACTGAATCGTAGGTTACCTTGAATTATATGTTCATTTTAATTATTTACTATTATCACCCCGACAAAATCAGGTTTATGGGATGCCAAAAATGTCCGTGTCCTAAATAGATGCGTTATAGGACCAAACACTTGTACGTCCAATTTCAAAGTGTTGCATTAAGTTTATAGGGCGCTTTTGAATGTCTTAACAAAGTTTTGTAGGACAATTTTTAAATGAAGTGCCATAATCATTTTTCTTATATGACATTATTTGAAAAAGTGTCTTATAAAAACAAGTGTCCGATAAAAAGATTTGTTCATGAAACATTTTTCAAATGTGTCATAAAAAAGCTAGTAGGACACTTCATTTCAAAAGTGTCCTAAAAACTTGTTAAGACCCCCAAAAGTGTTATAGAACTTATTATAAGACTTCTATACAAGACACACAATTTTTTGGTCCTATAAACTTGAGTCGTATAAAGAAGTCTATTAGGCCACTTAGACATTTTTGGCGTCCTATAAACCCGATCTTGTTGTAGTGTATTTTACTATCGTACATCAGATTTTGACTTCATGGGTCCTTTTTCTTTTAGCTCTTGGTGATGCTAAACCTGGTATCAGAGAGGAAAATGATATCAAGAATTCAAACAATGACCCAACAAAAAATGCGGTCTATGAAGGTGAGCGTCTGCGTTTGAGATTCAAAGTGCTGGTAATTAAAAGAGTTATGCATGCAATGATATGAATTCTTTTGACATATTGTAAATTAATAATTTTGAAGGAATTGATATGGAAGTGAGAAGCAGTTCAGGAATAAATGATTCGACTGTTGTTGCTCACCGTATGAAAAGAAGAGGAATGGTTTTGCCATTTCAGCCTCTTTCACTTGCTTTCAACCATGTCAACTACTACATTGATACACCTTTCGTTAGTCACTTTATTACAACTCTTCATTTGCTATATTTTTGTTCATTCGTTATCAGTTTATTTATCATAAAACATTTGTTAGTTTTAAAAACATGTTTTTAAGCATTTGGTACTACTTATTAATATACATAATCTCTTAAAATTCAAATTTACGACTTCTTTATCGTATAAATTCAACTTCTTGAAGATTTACTTTGGAACTACATAAACCAAGTTATGAACATTATCAAATAGAAGATAAACGTTCAATGCTACCAATACATAATACTTCTTAAATTGTGGATTTTCTTTTTTACATTGATTTTCCATTCTCGATTTGAAATAAAAATTTGCATCCTGCTGCATTGTATGGGTACACTGCTAGTTCAAAGGTAAATAAATGTTTATGGGTTTTAGGTTATACTATTGTGGTTACAAATACTGTCACTATTATTTGAGCAGGAAATGAAGGCTAGAGGGGTTAAAGATAATCGCCTGCCATTGCTCAAGGATGCTAGCGGTGCTTTTAGGCCTGGGATATTGACTGCACTTATAGGTGTTAGCGGTGCAGGAAAGACAACCTTGATGGACGTGTTAGCAGGACGGAAGACGGGTGGATACATTGAAGGAAATGTCTTCATATCAGGATACCCGAAGAATCAAACAACATTTGCTCGTGTTAGTGGATATTGTGAACAAAATGATATTCATTCACCAAATGTCACTGTTTACGAATCTCTTTTATACTCAGCATGGCTACGCCTATCTTCAGATGTTAATACGAGAACACGGAAGGTATATACTTATCACATAACTATCAATATACGGAAAATACGGAAAATATACGGAAAATACTTGCACACTCATATTTGGTGCGAATCCCTGACCTCCTGTAAGCCTGGGCTCTATCGTTAACCCAGGTATCCAATGACCCTCACTACAACAAAATCAGGTTTATAGGACGCTAAAAATATCTAAGTGTGTCACAATTGACCACTTTATAGGACCCAAGTCTGTAGGATCAAACAATAAGTTGCCCCATCTAAAAGTGTTACAATAAGTTTATACGACGTTCTCGGGTGTTTTAACGAGTTATTTTTTAGGAAATTTGTAAAATAAAGTCCGTATTAGCTATTTTATAGGATACTTTTGAGAAATATTCTTATAGGGCAATTGTGTTTACATGACACTTTTTCAAATAGTGTCGTATAAAAGAGCTAATACAACAATTTATTTTAAAAAATGTCCTGAAAAACACCCAATTTCGTCCTATACACTCATGTATTTAGATAGGACGTTTTATTGTTTGTTCCTATAAACTTAAGTCCTAGTATATTTGGACACTTAGATATTTTTGGCGTCTTGTAACCTCAATTCTGTTATAGCGCCTTTTAATCGGCTACTATCTTTTCTAGTAATAAAATCTCATTAAGTACATTCATTAGTCCTATAACAGAATCTTGTATGTCTTTCTTCTCAAGTCTTATTGATGATTATTATGACGTAGATATTCGTTGATGAATTGATGGAACTAGTTGAGCTTAATCCTTTAAGGGATGCTGTAGTTGGCTTTCCTGGAGTAGATGGTCTTACAATAGAACAACGGAAGAGGTTGACGATAGCCGTAGAGTTGGTGGCAAATCCATCCATCATCTTCTTAGATGAACCGACATCTGGTCTTGATGCTAGAGCTGCAGCCATTGTTATGCGTACTGTAAGAAACACAGTTGATACTGGGAGGACTGTTGTATGCACAATTCACCAACCGAGCATAGACATATTTGAATCTTTTGATGAGGTTTGTAGCATAAAAAAAATGCTATAATGTTATTTCTTTGATGTTAATCTGACTACCGTGATCCTTAACTTTGCAGTTGCTTCTGATGAAGATTGGAGGACAAATTATCTATGCAGGACCTTTAGGCCACCAATCTCACAAGCTTGTGGAGTATTTCCAAGTGAGTCTGTTATATCAATTCATATTCAATACTTCCTCCGTTGCAAAATAAATGTCCACAATGACAAAGACATACAATTTTTGAAATGTTACTACACAAAAATGGGTTTATTAGCCATCATTAATATCTAAGTGTTATAATAGACTGTTTTATAGGACTAAATGCATTGTGATAAGTTTACAGGACGTTTTAACAAATTTTTTAGGATACTTCAAAAAAAAATGTCATATTAGCTTCTTAGAGGACACTTCAAGTGTCCTATAAACACGTCTTATAGGACATTTGGTTTTAGAGTAAACTACAATTTTGATCCCTATGGTTTTCAATGATCTCCGGAAGTGGTCTCTAGACTTCAATAACTACAATTATCGTCCCTACTGTTTACATTCTTCTTTGTAAATGGTCCCTGGTCACTAACTCCGTTAAACTGATCTAAAGGACCAAAATCGTCCCTACTGTTTAAAAAGGTAAACTACAATTTTTGTCCTTTAGATAAGATAAAAAAGGGGAAATAAACACAAATAGCACTCACTTAACGGACCAGTTTAACGGAGTTAGTGACCAGGGACCATTTTCAAAGCAAAATGTAAACATTAGGGATGATACTTGTAGTAATTGAAGTCTAGGAACTACTTTTGGAGATTTGTGTAAACCACAGGAACCAAAATTGTAGCTTACTCCTTGTCTTATAAAAGAATTCTTCAAATGATGTCATATCAAAAAAATTAATATGACACTTTAGTGTCCAAAGAACTTGTTAACACGTCCAAGAATATCCTATAAACTTATTCTGACGCTTTTACATATGACACACCCAATTGTTTGGTCTTATAAACCTAAATCCTATAAAGCAGTTTATTAACACATTTAGACGTTTTTGACGTCCTATAAACCCGATTTTGTTGTAGTGTGCAGTTATTACATTATCTAATTAACTAAATGCTAATTTTACCCATAATATAAGTAGAGGGAGTAATGAGTTTCTCTATCTCATAATTAACGTAGAATTGAAAAATAGTCACTTAGGGGACGTCTAGCCAAACACTTACCCGGTAAGCGCTTACAGGTAAAATTCAACACTATCACTTACTTACCGGGTAATATTTTAGTTCACCAAAACGGCATCGTATGCAACAATTTACTTGATAAGCGCTAACCATGGTAAAAGTCGTCGTCCTCACTTACCGGGTAAGACTCTTACACCTTGCCTTCGCTCATACCGGGCAAGATTCTTGATCCTTGCCATATTTATCTTATAAAGTAATGTGACTTGGTAAACGCTTACCCGGGTAAGCGTTTGGTAAACAACCCCTTAGTGTTGAAGTGGACACTTATTTAAGGATAAATTATATAGAAATATAGACACTTATTTTGGGACCAAGGGATTACTAATAACAATCAATTTAGCTTTCAATTATTGGCTATAATCTTGGAGATTTTGAGTGAAATTTTCCCTAAAAGTCATTTCCTATATATAGGCTATTTCAGGAGTGCCAAAGATCAAGAATGGATATAATCCTGCTACATGGGTATTGGAAGTGACTTCTCCTTCAGTTGAAAGTCAACTTAATATTGACTATGCCGACATTTATGCGAACTCCACCCTTTATCAGTAAGTTCGAAATGTTGATTTAATATCTATATATATATATATATATATATATATATATATATATATATATATAGCCATAGGTTCATTTGAGAAGTGGCAAGTATTTGAGAAGTAGAGAAGTGATTCTAGCCCTTCATCTGGTCAAGATTTGCGGCTTTGACTGTGAAGCACCGGATAATTCTTCGCATGATATGCGGAAGAGAGGGTTAGTTTAGTAACTTTTGCAAATAGGCGGCAAAACAAGTACATATGTGAACCCGTGTGATTCACATATGAACTATATGTTCATATGGGAATCCGTGTAATTCACATGTAAACTATTTAACTGATTCACATATGAACCCATGTGATTCACATATTAACTAATTAACTGATTCACATATGAATCCATGCGATTCACATATGAATCCATGTGATTCACATATGAACTAATTAACTGATTCACATATGAACCCGTGTGATTCACATATGAAATAATTAACCAATTCACATTTGAACTTATGGATTCAGATATGCATTTGTTTGTTGCCTATTTGTAAAAGTTAGAAAACTACCCCTTTATTTTTCACTTGACCAGTCAAAGCCGCAAATCTTGAACAGTTAAAGCCACAATCTTTGACCGGTCAAAGCCGCAATTCTTGATCATTCTTCACTGTATGAAAGGCTAGGATCACTTCTCAAATACTTATCACTTCTCAAATGAACCTCTCCCTGTGTGTGTGTGTGTGCATATATATATATATATATATATATATATATATATATATGTGGTTGAGTTCCGGTGAGAAGGGAAGTTATGGTGAGAAGTGTAAGAAGAGATCTGCACCCGTGGATCAATCCTAATTGAATTTCAACACTAATTAGGTGCATCGAGATGCACCAGATCAATTCCCTTCTAAAGCGCAATTCATGGGTGGGCATGAGATTAAAAGTGATCAATGATTCAAATCTATTTTACGCTTCTTACGATAACTTTCCTTCTCACACGATCCTCCACCTGTATATATATATATATATATATATAGAATGCAAATCAAATGCAACCTTTTCAAATGTTGCAACCCAATGCAACCCAATGAAATTTAATCCTAACCATAGATCATCCCTCCTTTTTAGGAGTATTTTCGTTTTTAACTATTTTAAAATGTAACCGCCTTATCCCCAACCGTTCATTGTTTAATTGTGTGGTGTAGATGAAGTTGCATTGTTTGCAATGTTTAAGAGGGTGGCATTTGATGAGCCTTCCATATATATATATATATATATATATATATATATATATATGGAGGTTCAAATAAGAAGACTAATGATTTACGAGAACTCGAGAACAACCCAATAACGTCAAAATTTTTAAAAAATAAATTAACTTATATTAAAGCGAACCCATATGAATAATCTGCAATGTCAGTTCGT